ATTTTAAAAATAGCCAATGGTAACAGACAGTGATAGTCTAAAGAAGTTGAGTTTTGCTCTGGAGGTGTGGTGAAGGGTTGGTGGAAGGAAAACAAGGAATACTGGTGAAGTGACTATTGTCTGACACTATGCAAATGTGGTGATGGATCATTAAATGCCTAAAACACGCATTATAATTATAATATGCATTATAATCACCATGCCTACTTAAAAATGAAGCAAGTTAAAAATGAGGAAACGAGGTTGTTTAAAAAGTTGATTCAACTAGTAAGTTGGACTCAAATTGCAGTGCGTTAAGAACTATTTGGAATACAATTAATAATGAACATTTCTAACCTGTTCTCCTTCATTTCAATTTAGATTGTCTAGAGATTAGGAATTTGCTCTGTTTGTTTATTTTGGGGCCATACCTGGTGATGCTCAGGGGAAACTCCTGGTTCTGTGCTTAAGGATCATCCCTGTCAGTGCTCAGGTGAGTATGGGATGTTGGGGATTGACCCTGGGTCAACTGCGTGCAATGCAAGTGCCTACCTGCTATACTATTTCTCTGGCCCAGAACTTGCATTTCTGTCAAGCATTCCAGGTGAGTCTCATGAACGTGACTCATAAGCTACAGCTTGAGAAGCACTGCTTTACACTCTGTGGCTGCCATTTAAAAACATAATGAATGTGAATAATTCATCTATAAGAAATACAACTTGATGTTAAAATTGCAAAGCTAATATAATTTGTGAAATACAAGTAATGAAGAAAAACTAACAATGCAATTACATTTAAAAAAATTCCATGGCTTAACTCAATGAGATACATACTTAATCTTGCTTTTTTGACCACACCCAGTGGTGCTCAGGGTTCACTTTCGGCTATGCCTGGGGACTATATGCAGTGCTGGGGATCAAATTAATCATGTGCAAAGCAAGATTCCAACCTACTGTGCTATCTCTATCGCCCCGAGATCTATTTTCATTTTTAGGAAAGTAGTAAACTTTGCATGTAACTTTCAACGTTCTTATTTCTCACAGAACAAAGGGACTGAAAAAAAGGGTGATAAAGGTGACAATGGGAATGCCGAATTTAAGGAAATAAAAACACTCATTTATATCTAAGGTATGCTCTCCTACATATAACTTTCTTATCAAAGGTCTATGATGACAAAAAAAATAAAAGTAAGCATTTTAGGTAAACTACAACAAGATCCTGAGTATTTCACATTGGAAATAATGTACAAATGAGAAGGACACAAATTATTCAATTAATTGGCAACAGCAGCACACTTCATGCTGGAATACAAAATGCTAATAATAACTGAGAGCTTTGTGTGCAACCAATATGGATAGTTTAAGTATAAAGTTCAGTTATCAATAAAATGTATTAGGGCTGCTTGACCAACTGAATACTCAAGGTTATATTTGCATATCCAACCTGAAAATAATTTATTCAATGACATGTGATTGAACAACAGCAAGATATTTATCAGTCTATTTACTCATTCCTAGTGACTCCTCAAACATTTATTATAATAGCTTTTTATGAATCGCAACCCATTTCTTTTAAAGTTTTGAAACCCATTCTCAAAGTCCTCACTTTCCACAATGGTGTTGATTTTTGTCCTGTTAATCCTTGAGTTCTCTATCTACATTACCCTTTCTTTATTAAGATTTCACAGTCAATATCAAGTATCTTCTCACAGAGGATTAAACCCAAGATTGGTTTAACTTCTTTCTAAGGCTAACTTTTCAACCAGAATCTGACCCCATTATACGTACTGTTTCTTTTAGGATCTTGATGAAATCTCAGAAAACTGTTTTTAGTCATCTAAAGTACCCAGGCCTTGTATTGTAGATTTGTAACAAAAAATGAAAGAAAATTGACTTGAATCAACTTACCAAACAGTGCAGAGTTAAATATGAACGACTGTGAGCATAAGTGCAGTAAGAGTGGGGAAGCAGAGCTTAGCTGCATGTAGCTGGTGACAAAAAGGACTTTATTTAGGAAAGAGATGCCATTTTAAAGATAAGAGCTATTAAGAGAGATTAAAAAAGTAGGGAGAAGTGAAAAGTTAGAGAGGCCCAGGATAGTATGGCATGGCCAAGCAACTACAAGTATTCTATCACTAATGAAAAAATTCCGGCATAACTGTGAACTGAGTTCAGAGTTAAGGTTATAATGGGCTGCGAAAATATTGTTATTGTTTGCATATGTTGGAAACTTAACTTTAGAAACATCATAATAGAGCAATTAGAATTATGCAAAATCAAAGGCTGTTATTCAAGAAAATGGGTAGACTTGAAATTCCTGATAGCATATAAAGTGATAGACTTGGAGCAATAATGAGAAACCGAGAAGTATAATATAAATTAAAAATATGTAAGTAGTAATAATATAGGACTTACTGTTTTATTAAATGCCTGGAGTAGGAACATGAAAGTAAAAAGTTTAAACTATAGGTTTCTGGCTCTGGTAACTAAGTTATATGAGTGGTGGTTAGTGGTGGGGTAGCCAAGGGGACATGACAATTTGGTTGTGAGATGAATGAGATATTGATTTGGCATAGCCAGTATAAGCAGGCCAGGTGAGAACATAGTTGTAGGCAAGATATTCCAGTTGAATTGTAGGAATTGAGATGTGTGAATGGATCTTTTCCCTAAAATAACATGAGCAAAACAAAAGATCTTCCAAAGACAGTAAGACCAAGGGAATAGAAAAGAAGATGGGGTAGATCGGCCATGTTAAATTTATGCTAAAGATATTTACAAGAGGCACTGATTCAGAAGAATAAGGAATTGTGTAGCTGTTAAATACTTCAGAAAGAAACTCAGTAGATATGAAAAGCACTCCCCTACACACACACACACACACACACACACACACACACACACACACACACAATTTAACTAGATTTCTCTCTCCATTTTATTTTTTTTTAACCCACCTTTACCCTTATACTTCCTTAAATTTTATTTTCTTTTTGGGTCACACCCGGCAATGCACAGAGGTTACTCCTGGTTCATGCACTCAGGAATTACTCCTGGCGGTGCTCAGGGGACCACATTGGATGCTGGGAATCGAACCCGGGTCAGGCCCTGTGCAAGGCAAATGCCTTACCCGCTGTACTATCACTCCAGCCCCTATACTTCCTTAAATTTTATGATTACATAATTAACACTTGATGTGTGTGTTTATTTGGTAAATACACTAAAATCTGTGTTCCCAGTGCAATCTCTGTCTGCTGTTGAGCTACTATTACTTTGAAATTTTCTACCTGAAAATCAGCCAATGAAGTCCTTGTCTTTATTCAGTCAGAGCTTAACAGCTTATTACTATGACTTTTCCTCACTCACTGTGCTGCATGAACTCACAGCCAAATAATTTTATAATGTTAGGACCTTTTGTTTATATTCTCCATTGTTTATTACGCTGGGGCTTGGTGCTCCCTATTTCTTAAAAGATATCTTTTTAGTCTCCCAGAGGGAATCCCAATTCCTACTCAGATATTTAAATAAAATAGTCCCCCTAGATTTTATCCTTAGTTCTGTATTCTGTGAAATTCTCATATAGACACCCCATCTCTTAGACATTCTTAGCACTGCACTGCACTGTCCTCCCACTGTTCATCAATTTGCTCGGGTAGGCACCAGTAACGTCTCCATTGTGAGATTTGTTGTTACTGTTTTTGGCATATCAAATATGTCACAGGGAGCTTGCCAGGCTTTGCTGTGCAAGCTAGATACTCTTGGTAGCTCGCCAAGATTACAAGTCATTAATGTGCAGAGGACTTTCAAATAGTTTGTCTTTCTGTCTGTCCTTATGGTTCTTATATTTTACATCCTTCCTATAATATGCAAAGCAATTTATTTTAATGGAATCTCTACCATACTAAATTATGATGCATTATTTATCACTATAAAACAAAAACAGCAACCAACATTTATTTGGTTTTTATTAGCAGCTATTCTAAGCATATCATATATTTTCATACTAATTACTTTTCTATTTTGGGCTGGAGCTATAGGATAGTGGGTAGGGCATTTGCCTTACACGTGGTCGACCTGGGTTCGATTCCTCCTCCCTCTCAGAGAGCCTGGCAAGCTACTGAGAGTATCCCTCCTGCACAGAAGAGCTTGGCAAACTCCCCGAGGCATATTCGATATGCCAAAAACAGTAACAACAAGTCTCACAATGGAGACATTACTGGTGCCCGCTAAAGCAAATTGATGACAATGGGAGGACAGTGCTTACAGTGCTTACTTTTCTATGAATTTAGAAGAGCAAAACAATTTATTCATCAATTTATGACACATTTGAAAAGGAATAAATTTACAGATTTCTTTGTTTTATATGTTAGTGGATAATAAATTTACAGATTTCTTTGTTTTATATGTTAGTGGATTTTTTTTTTTTTGGCTTTTTGGGTCACACCCAGCAATTCTCAGGGCTGACTCCTGGCTCTGCACTCAGAAATCACTCCTGTCAGTGCTCGAGGGACCATATGGGATGCTGGGAATTGATCCCGGGTTGACCGCATGCAAGGCAAACTGCTATACTATCGCTCCAGGCCCTATTAGTGGATTTGTGAACTCACAGTTCTGGGTAAGAAAATAACTAAGCAATATATGTAAATATAAGGCTCATTTTGCTGCTAAATCTTTATTAATAAGAACTTACAAATGTCTAAAACATAACTAGAATTCCAATAATGACACAGGGCATAATTAAATTTTTAAATGCAATCTGAGTTATCAATAAAAGATTAAAACATGCTTTGTAAAGTCTGGTACTCACATAATTTCTCTTCTTTCAAAAAATAGTAATTTTTTAATGTATATTTATTGTGAATAATGTATAAATGACATAAACTGCCTTGATAAAATACTGATCTTATCCAGATCTCTAAATGCTACTAAACCCCAAGGATTAGTTCTTAGTCCGTTACTCTGCAGAACTGACATGCACACAGTCATTAACCCATTTTGATGAATAATAGACTATTCTATACTTACTTCAAAAATCCAATTTTCGCATTAACTTGTAAATCAGCAGAACAATTTTCATTGGCACAAAACCTTGCAAAGTGTACCTGAAAATAAAATGACAACAGTTTTTGTATTTAAGTTCAATTGGCAGTCTATATTTGTGTCTTTTTAAATAAGGAATATATGATAGGTTAGAAAAATTTAAAAAAATGTTAGCTCATATTTTATTTCTTCCCAAATATAAAATTTGAGAATGCTCAGTTTCAAATGAGAAATAATAACCTGGTTAAATAAATTAAGCATTTACAGTAGGAAAATTTAAAATCTAAATTGTCAAGTGGAAAAATGAAATCCTCTTTAATAATATATATGAAAAAAATAAATTTGAGCAAAGTATGAACTCTTAAGTGTTTAAAACCTGTGCTACCAAGATTTCTTGTCAAGTTCCTTTCAACTCTCAGGCTTCAGCAGTTAGATACCATTTATTATTGCACATAAGCAATTAATTTTCACAGGACAGGTACTTTATATTTTTAAAAAGAACAAAATGTAAATATTTATACATTTTGAGACCATGAATGAAATTAATAGTTGTCTATCATAAATGTTTCAGAATTTATAAAATGCTGAGCATTTTTAGTGGGAGCTAGAGAGAAGGCATGTGGGAAGACCTGAAGTACACTGGAAAAAAATAGATAGAGAGAAAAGATATGCAGAGAAAAAGAAATGGGTGAAGAGGGAAAACGAGAGAGTCAGAGTAGGAACTGGTTAATTAAATGGGAAATAGTTAGAATGCTGTCAAATAGCATGTCAGACCACAGACTGCCTGAACAAGGGGAAAACAGAGAAACGTATAAATGTTCCAACAATTAAGTAAATGTGAATTTTCTTCTACCACTATTATGTGTAAAGAAGGTCATTATAAGAATTAAGGTGTAGATTATTACAATATAATTACAAATAGTCAAGGCTTGAGCTTTTATACATACAAGTCTTCAATTTTCATTAGTGATGATATTTACAGGATACCTAATATTGAAAACTGAAGTTCAACAGAAGAATGAAATATCTATCTACTATAAACATTTTTACATAGGGTGCAGAGAAAATCCGCTATCAACTTATCATTCTCATTTTAGTTAATATCGAATATTAGACAGAGATGAATGTAAACTCTCATATCCTAAAGTGACTTGGACAATTTCGTCTGGACAGGATATGAACCAGACCTTCAAACATCCCTTTAATGTTTAACATTCTGTGAATCATTAGCAAAGGTTTTAATAAATTCTTTTATCATACACCAAAACATCCTCTGGAGTGTTTTTTGTATGGCTGGATAGTAGAGGTCTGAACAACTTGGCTCTGTCAGAAACACCAAAGTTATTTTGTGACAAATTAGAAAAAGTATATCACTGGTTAGGATATAGGGTCCTGGGATGTGTAAAAGGCATAATTAAATTGAAAAATACTGTGTGATAGAAATGTATATGTTTATAAATGAACAAAGCATGGCAAGAGGATTTAACTAACAAGATAGGAATGAAACCTTGGATAGACTGAATGGGAGAGAGAAAATGAGAAAGAGATCAGTACACTGAGCACATGTAACACTAAGAAACACATGAATCAGCTTACTTCTACTAAGAGTAATCACTAATAACATATTTTCTCTCACTCGCAAGAGAAAATTAGCATTCAATATATACAGGAAAATAGTGCTATGGCTTAATAATGCCTGTATGTCATAGTATTGTTCTGAATGAATGAAGGAAAAGATTCCTACTGTTTTTTCAATCTTGTCTTTTTCTTTCTTCTGCTGCAGAATCGGCCGTAGTGGTGGGAATTCCTCATTGCTTTTTTTGCTGAGGAGATCATTCCCAAGGTGGTAAGCAGCTTCAATCTGAATTGGGGTGAGGATGTCCCGCACATCTTTCTAAGGAAATTAAAATGACATAAATCAATTAATAAATATAATCACATACATGAAAATATTCAGAACCTCTCTTTTCCTGTAGATGAAACCAAATGCCACATCTAGAAGTCAATAAGCATTTCCACTTCTAAACCATATGTAAGTCATTTAAAAGTGTGATTCAACATTTTTAGTTAATATTTTCCTATAGTAAACTTACATAATAAAAACATTACTTTCTCTCAATTTGCGTCTCTCAGTAACATTTTGATTCAATTTGATTTCATAGTGAGTATGAAATATTCTTTTTCTCCTATGCCTTATGGACTTTTCCAAGCTACATTTTTCACAGATTAAGAGTGGCATATAGGGGATTTTGTTTGCTTGTTTGTCTAGTATACTGAATACTAAGCACTCTATTTAATTTTATTTTTATACTCTTCTCAGATATGTACTTTCGAACATCACAAAAGATTTTTTGAATTTATCAATTACACAATTGTAACCCATTCAGAATCTATTCTGCTGTTTGAAATTTGAATTCATTATTAATTTTTGCAAAATTTTAGTTCTAATCTTATTGTAGGTGGTTGAGAATTCTTTGAGATTATATTTTAAACTACTCTTTTCAACCTCAAAGAAATATTTCTTGAGTTTATTAAAATATTTAATTTAATATATCTTAATCTTTGTTTCTATATGCAAGAATTAATTTTAACAACACTTTCTTTTAAAGCACTTTCTCATGAACTTAAAAACTATTATATATTCATTTGATTATTCAGCAGTCTCATTAAGGAATGATCACATTATTATCAAAATCTTTTGCTAATATACGTAAGTACAAATAATACATAATAAGAGAGGAACTTCAAAAGTTTTATGTACCAGTTAAGAAAGCATTTCTCTAGATAGTAAATGTATATAGAATCTCAATTGTATGAATTTCAGGCAATATTCAAAACATGACATATTTTATAAGATCGGTTTCACAAATATGCCTTAGAAATGAAATTTTTCAGTATTAAGACTCCTAATTCTCTTAAATTAGAAGTCAGACAAATAACTTTGGTGGGTCTTCTTGGGGACTCTCAGTAGTCCCCAAGGGTGGACTCTCAGTAGTGCTCTGGGCTTATTCCTGACTCTGAACTCAGAAATCACTCCTGGGGTGGGAGAGGGTGATCTTGGGGGACTATGTGGGATGTTGGGGATTGAACCTGGGTTAGTTATATGCAAGGCAAGTGCTTACCCACTGTGCTACTGCTTCTGCTCCTGGACAAATAATTTTTACTAATAAAATAATATGTGAGCATTCACAAAAGTATGCAGTTGACAGTTTTTAAATTGCATAAAATAAAACATGTTTATGACAAATTTGCTAAAAGGTACCTTAGATACAACAAAGACGAAAAGTAAAAATGACCTCACTTGAGAGGGCAGTTACCATTCAGATATAGTCACTTACACAGGAACTATGTAGGTTTTTTAGTTATTATGGAAACTATAGTCAAATGATATTTGAAAAATTAGTCATAAACTCTGAAGTCTTTAATATTAAAAAATTTTAAACTTAAATTTTGTATTTAACTCTGTTTTCAGATGCCATTTCAATCAATAGTTTGTCTCAGTTTGAAAGACTCATGAAGTCTTTCTTCACCAAATAAGAGAGAGAGAGACTCAAATGTTTCACCATGGTAGAAGTATTACATATATTATGCCAGATGAGTCTTTCAGTGGATTCATGACACTGTAATTGACAGACCTCAAAGAGAGTAATGTCAGTGAATATTCTCTCTATAAGCATCTCAAGATTGGATCGTATCTAAAACATAACTGTCTAGAAGCAAATAAAGAAGAGATTATTTTCAACATTCATCATTTAATTATCCCTAATGGGTGGGGTAAAAATAGCGATCACACAGATGATTGCTATCCTTTTTATATAAACATGCATGTTTTTGATAAAAAAATCAATGAGGTGAATTAATAAACATGACATCACATAAATACTGTATCACATTATTAATACATGTACAAAATAGTTGAAAAGCAAATAGACTGACAGCAGAGTGCTGGGGTTCACCCTCAGATCCAATACTCATTCTTCCTGTAACTGAGCAGATTAGTTTGGCAATCATTCAATGATGTCACTTGAAAACGGAAGTAATGACTGCTTGTGGCTATTATACTTATACCTTCTTACAAAGATTTATGACACAAGTAAAAACACTTTGCATAAAGCCTGTCACTTAGTAAGGACTCAATAAATGTCAGATGTTGTAATTATTTTGTGTATGTTTTTCCAATGTAACCATGGAAAAAAAATAAGTAATTACTGAATTTCTTTTTAATTCAGGTTTAAAGAGCAGAATGTTCCTATATGGTAGGTCAATTTTGGTAGGCTAATCTAAAAAGACTCATAGAAATTAATGGCAACAGCATTCTAAGACCCCAGAAGAACATGTCAAAGAACACCAAATAGAAATGCCTTATTTTGGATATCATGGAAAATTTATAATAAATTCTGGTGAAAAACTGAAATAAATTAAAAAATTTACACCATCAATCTAGAAACACTAAATGAAAAAAGTTATAGAACAATAATTAGATTTGTATTAACTTGTAGGTTCCTGGAATATTTGGAGTATGAATCAAAGTACTCAAAATAGTTTACTTTTCCATTCTTTCTATAAGAGATGATTTTTAAAAATTACTTGGTAAGCAATAATCTCCACATTAAACCTTGACCATATAGGAATGCTGCAAATCAAGGTCCAAATCCCAAGTTATCAACTTGTGAAAACGGAACAGCTTGAAGCCCTGAGTATTACAATAGCAAACTTGATTAAATTATTCCCAAGGTGTAGGAGCTAGACAGCCACTGATTGTCCCTCCACATGTCCACTGTTTTAATTCTTCTCAACAAGCTCGCTTTGACCAAATCACATGTTATCTAATTCATACTAATTTTCCACAAGGTCTTGTCTACATCTGGTGTATATTACTTTCATTATCCTAATTAGCTATTAATTATGCTTTTCTCACAATATATAAAATGTACGTGCACTCTTGAAAGAATTGTATGACAGATATTCACACTTATTTAACTTTAACAGCTCTACCTAAGGACAAAAGCTATCAGAAAAATTTTCAAGTGACTAATTAAGTATTTGGGAGTGAAAAGTAGATTTGCTTAAAATATTTTGTTAAAGTGAGCATGTGCTATAATGAAAATATTTTATGGCTATTACATAAAATAGGATACCCACAAGTATGCAGATTAGCACATGCTTAGAATTACACAGTCTGTTCTGTTTGACTTCCATGGAAATTTATTTCTATGGCCAACTTGAGAAGTCAACTGTAGGCCATTTCTTCTTGTTTTATTATGGAGTGAAGGAATTTGTCTAAAATAGTTTACTGAAAGAGTCAGGAATGTTTACAAAATAATGAGTGAAAGGATATTGATATATAAACAATTGAAGATGTCGCTTCATGGTCTTACTTTGTCAGAGGCAAGGGTGGGGATACGAAATGTCACTCATAAATCCAAACATCTAGTGCACAGGATGAGCACATAACATGAATACATAAGAGGAGCAGGGAGACATAATCTATACTTCAAAGAATAATTTTAAGCAAGTAATCTGATCAGGTTTGTGTCTTTTAAATGCTTCTCTCACACCAACAGGAGGAATGGGATGGGTAAAGAGAAGGTTTGATTTTGAAGCACAGATTAGAATTTTAATCAGTACTATCATTTGTCACTGTAATCACTTAATTTAGTAAACCTGGTTTAAGAGATAGAGAACTTTCAAATACATGGCATTCCAACTTCCCGAGTGATGACAACACTCTCATTATTTTTGTAATGACTATAACATCAATACAATAAAACAGTAGACCAATAGAACCATTATAACAATAAAATATTCTTAGATTTTTCCTTTCAGAGTTCTTTTAATAGCATCAAGAGCCCATCATGCATAAATTCATTAAATATCAATTTATGTTCTGCCATGAGTGATGAGTTGAGTTAGATCTAGAAATACAAACATGAAAATGATACTGTTCTCAAAACATTTTGCAATCTAATCATTAGCATGCTCAATCATCAATTCATTTCTAGAATTTCACAGTGTAATTACTTTCACTTAGATTTTTAGTGGAAATGTAAACATACATGGATAAGTTTACAGTGTACTATAGATAAAATATAATATAAAATAAAATTTATAAACTATTTTTGTATAAGTATAAATGTATATAATATGAATATGAAAGTACAAAGTATATTTACTAATCAAGATTACTAAAATGTAAGGTTTAGAAATTGCCTAGATTTACAGTAAAAAATAATTTTACTCCAGAGAGATATAAAGCTGAAATCTGGGAAATTTAGGAAAAGAACAGAATGAACTACTACTATGTAGGTTAGCAAGTTAGTACCATGAATTATTATACAGCACACCAAGGTCACACACTGAACCTCAGGATACCAATGGGGTAAGACTTTTTTGGTCTTAACACTAGAATAAATACTTCCAACTTTCACTGCAAATGTTGTGGGAAGGAAGAGAAATCTCTTCATGTACTATTCCCATTCTCTTCTCAGATATTCATGAGTATTCATTCCATTGAGACTAGCCGAGAAATATCTATGAAAATCTTAAGGGAAGTCCAACTTTCATGTTGCTTCAATATTACTAAAATGTGCTACAAAACGCTGATCAGGTCTCTCTAAATCAAGAGTCTCAAAAATTAATCCTTGTTCTAAGATCTTGTCCTAATCTCTAATATTTAATAAAGATGCATAATTCAATATAGCAAAGGCAGACTTATTTTCATATTCTTACATGTATGGGGAAACATTTCCATATAGAGAAGTGATGTTAAAGAGATGAGTATTTTAATACATAAGATATATACTGTTCTAAAAAAATCATTTCTAATATCACAGAAATCTTTTGTGAACTCGACTCTAAATTTCAAGCAGTTCTATTTTTCAAAGGTTCAGTAAT